CATGGTGAAACCTCCAAACATTTGGTATCTCTGAAAAGTCCTGAATGTGCTCTTTACAGGACACCCAGGTTGTGTCATGTGACATGTATGATGTCAGAGAAATTCACTAAAATATAATGTCCACTACAGTGGACAAAAGCCTATTCTCGGGTCCCAGGAGGATATATATATATATATATATATATATATATACAGTATATACATACATAAAGGACTTGGCCCTGTTTAGGCCAATTCCTTGGTTCCCTATAAAAGGCTCGTCAAAGGGACTGTCTTCTATTAGGATTATAACCTTACTCTTCTATGGGCCTCAGGCATCTTGCCTTGGGTTATAGTATAAAGCGAAGTTTAAGCACGCACAGCGTTTTGAAGAGGGTTCCCATAGTGTAAGCTAGCCATACGCAATACGAGAGACCTTTTGAAAGGGAACATCTCGGTTACTAACGTAACCTCGGTTCCCTGAGATGAGGGAACGAGTATTGCGTAACCCGCCATGCTTTGCTGCGACAACACAGTCTGTACCCTGAACTCTGGCGCATGCTCGGTGAGCTCACCGGTCCGCGTCGACGCTTTTGTTTGTTTGTCCTCTCGCTTTGTTTTGTACTGTGTAAGTCCATAAACACTATGGATAACACGATATATGTCGGAAAAATGCTAGGGATCATTGCGATCTTTCTATTGATCACCCGCGATCTCAGGTGCGCAGCATTTCATCTGGATGTGCACAGCAGCAACAAAATAACTTACTCCCGTCAAGATCTCCTCTCTCTACGAGACTTTGCCACTCACTGCCCAATATCAATGGATGTGATACCAGATGACATCCTAAGCAAGCCGAGGAAGGCGAGGAGGGGTTCGCGCCAGGCTACGGAGGCGTCCCTTTAACCCCCCTCTTCCCTCAGTTGTGATGGCTAATATACAATCTCTCCAGAACAAGATGGACATCCTACATGCCAGATGCCAGGGGGAAAAATCCTTTCGTGAGGCCTGCATCATCGCGCTGTCCGAGACGTGGCTGAAGGACTCCATCCCAGATGAGGAGGTTAGTTTGGATAACTTCACCATTATCCAAGCAGAACGGAAGCCGAGCTAGCAGCTCAGAATGTTCATACTATGTTGAATAAATACCCTGAGGCCCCGGTGTTTATTATGGGGGATTTTAATAGCTGCAAGTTGGACACTGTTCTTCCATCTTTTAAGCAGTATGTTGATCCCCCCACTAGGAAAGAAAATGTGTTAGATCTGTGTTACCGGAACATAAACAATGCTTATACCGCCACTAGGCTCCTCGGATCACAACATCGTCTTCTTACTCCCGCAATATAGACAACTGCTGAAGAGAGAAAAGCCAGCTACATATAGCGTCGCCCAGTGGACAGAGGAAGCAACCGCACAACTCCAAGGGTCATTTGCATGTACAGACTGGAATATTTTTGATGGCGACCTAGATAAAAAAACGGAGATAATAACGGATTACATCAAGTTTTGCATGGCAACTAGTATTCCATTCAAAACTGTGAAAAGATATCCCAACTCGAGACCATGGATGACCAGCCAAATAAAACTTAAACTCAAGGAGAAACAACCAGCATTTAATTGTAAAGATTGGTTTTTGCTGAGAGACATTAATCGCTCTGTGAAAAATGAAATCAAAAAGGCAAAACTTGCAAATAAGGACAAATTAGAAAAAGATTTCAGTAGCATGAACACCAGACAGGCCTTTCAGAAGGTGAAAACCCTTGCTGGAACCACTTCGAATGCCAGCATTCCTACATCTACTGATGCCAGGTTTGACACCCTAAATTGCACCACTGAATGTGAGAGACTGCTCAGGAGCCTACCCACTCCTGAAGAGCCACACCTTGTCCCCTTAACGGTGGGAGACGTCCATCAGTAGCTCAGGAGGTGCCATACTGGCAAGGCCCCTGGCCCAGATGGAATCACGGGGAGGCTGCTCAAGAATTGTGCCCTGGAGCTATCTCCTGTTCTCCATTCACTTTTCAAAGAGTCACTACAGACAGCAACTGTCCCAACCCTCTGGAAAACCGCCACTATCATTCCTGTACCCAAAAGATCTCGCCCCTGTGAATTGAACCATTACAGACCAGTAGCACTTACTTCAATAATTGCAAAATGTCTAGAAAAACTGGTTTTAAACACTATCCTTCTGGTTGTCTGCCCACAGCTGGATCCTTACCAGTTTGCCTATAAGGCCAAAAGAGGAACAGAGGATGCTGTTGCATGCCTCCTTCATACTCTCCTCCAACATCTGGATTCTCAGAGCCATTATGCCAGGATTCTTTTTATAGACTTCAGCTCCGCCTTCAATACGATACAACGCCACCTCATGATAATGAAACTTCAACAACTTAACGTGCCACCTCTTCTCATTCACTGGATTTATGATTTTCTCAGCGACAGACCACAGGCAGTAAGGGTGGGTAGTATAACATCCCCCACCATTACTGTCAACACTGGAGCCCCTCAAGGGTGTGTCCTCAGCCCTTTCCTATACACACTATAAACTGACGACTGCCGTAGCCCTTACGACATCACAAAGTATTTCAAATACTCAGATGACACAGCCATACTCACCCTCCTCACTGGCACGGAATGAGTCACAGCATATCCCCAATCTGTTGCCCATTTCACCCAATGGTGTACAGACAGTCATCTTCTTCTCAATACCACTAAAACAAAGGAACTTATCTTGGAAACACACGTCAAAAATTCTCCACTGCTCATTGCCATATTTCCATCAGTGGCCAGTCAGTAGACATTGTTGACAGCTTTAGGTATCTTGGCATTATTCTGGACAATAAACTGAATTTTCGCCATCAAACCATAGACATTCACAGGCGCTGCCAACAGAGACTGTTTGTCATACGAAAACTCAGGACTCTCTCAGTAAAACCACATTTTCTTCTACTTTTGTACCGTAGTATCATTGAACCCGTTCTTCTGTACTGTGCCACCTGCTATTTCACTATGCTTTCACTCACTGATAGAAACAAGCTTCTTAAAATCACTAACACTTCCTCAAAAATAATAGGCCTTCCCACACCCAATTTGCCGGCTCTCATTGACACTGCTATCATTCGCAGAGCAAACACCATTATAAAAAATCAGAGCCACCCGCTGAACTCATGTTTCACCCTTCTTCCCTCAGGTCGTAGATATAGACAGCTACTCCATAAAAAATGACGGCTAGGGAGGAGCTTTGTAATTTCAGCCATAAGGGCGTTGAATTCACAGAAAGCCTAATTTATGTGTACAATGTGTATATGTGTATGTTATGAGTGGTGAATGTTGCTCCTGGTACAGACTGTGGAAACAAATTTCCTCTATTGAGGACAATAAAGAATGAATATATGAATACTATGCTTGTCTTATATAGATATAAGCCACGCCCATTCTGGCGGGCTCTGAAGTGCCAGGGCGCGAAGTGACCTGATTGGTTTGCTTGTCTGAGCCATCTCACAATATGTTTGTGCAGTTGCTGTGGCACAGCCAATGACTGCGCTAGTCACTCATCTGTGTCTGCTGTGCAGCTGACTGCGTTTTCAAAATTTGGCTTCATTATTCTCAAGAAAAGGAGTTTTCCCATAGCGTAAGCTAGCCTTACGCAATACACGTTCCCTCATCTCAGGGACAGGGGTTACGTTAGCAACGAGACGTTTTCACCATCGGTGTCGCCAAACTGCTCCGTCTCAAATGTTCATACGCATTACTCAGAGTTTGCGAGCAGGTGCGCACATTCTCCCGTCAACTGTGTTTTTATTAATCATAACTTGTGCGTGTGAAGTGGTGTACGGCTCTTTCAGGGCCTGTTTTGTGGGACGCACCGGTTATAAATGAGGCCCCTGGTCCCTGAGCGATATTAACAGATGACGATGTTGTTTCCCTGTTGCAGCAGTTCGCCGTATCCGTCGGACAGAAAGGCTTTCGTCAAAAGCGGAGTCTCTCTAATGTCTCCGCAGAGTCAGGCGTCTCACGCCAGGAGACCTCCGCCAGACTGCATCAGCTCTTCACAACAGTTCGACAAGAACGCTTACGTATAACACACAGTGCTGAAGCATGGCGTAATATCTCATTGGGTTCTGTCGCTCTTTTAGTGCCTTGGGATGGCCAGCACATGCTGTGTACCAGATGCTCTAATTCAAGATTGGGTTATTATTGCCTCTAAAGCATATCTACTGCAGCATGTTGATGTTTATGTTAATGTTTACGCAGCACTGCATGAGATCATCTGTCGATAGTTGTGTTGTGCTCCACCAGTTCGGGTGATTATTCATTTCTGGCATCAGTATCCAGACAGAATCACGTTTCAGGAGATTTGAGTTTCAATATTGTCTGGAGATTGTATTGCCTGTTTTGCCAAGCCTCAATAATTAATGTGATTTAAGAAAAATGTTTTTGATGTTTAATAAAGAATCAATATAATGTTGTTATAAATGTTGCATATTCTTGGGGTGATACAATTGTGCATAATATCTGTGTGAATATATTTGCTATATGTGACCCTGGACCACAAACCCAGTCTCGAGTCGCACGGGTGTGTCTGTGGAAATAGCCAACACTGTATGGGTCACAATTATACATTTTTCTTTTATGCCAAAATCAGTAGGATATTAAGTAGAAGTTAAGATCATGTTCCATGAAGATATTTTGTAAATTTTCTACTGTAAATATATTAATAAAATATTTTTGTGAGTGGATGCAGAAAGATCGTGAACATAAATACACAACTTTAAATGCTTAAGATTTTCTCAATGTTTAAATTTTTTGCACCCTCAGATTCCAGATTTCCAAATAGTCATATCTCGGGCAAATATTGTCCAATCCTAACAAACCACACATCAATTTAAAGCTTTAAAGTCAATTTCAAGAAAATTACCCTTGTGACTGTTTTTGGGTCATATTTGCTGAATTTGACTAATTGTGCCACCAGATAGATGATGTTTCAGGAAGAAATGTGCATTTCAGTTATTTACAAGCGTCTCACAGATTACGTCTTGCTTCTCTGCCAGACACACTCCTCACAATATTTATAGTAAACCAGCGTCATGATGTGTGTACAAACACAACACCCGTCCCTTCAGGACTTTCTCTAAAAGGTCAGACCGCAAACTGCTTTCCTCCGCTGAAGGATCGGCCATGTTTGCGAGAGAATAAGCATCTGCTCAGAAGACGAGCGATGAGGAAAAGTCTGATCCAGGTGTTTGGGTTCCTGTTGTCCACACTCGGCTGGCTCTTCGTCAGCTGCACGCTGGCCATGGACTACTGGAGAGTGCTCTTCGTAGGGGGCAAAGGCGGCAGCTGGATGATCAAGTCATCTTGGTACTGGTCAAACCTGTGGAGGGACTGTGTGACGGACACGTCCTCCGTCACCAACTGCAGAGACTACGATGTGCTGTGGGCCGTCACACGTAAGTCCTCTGGGATGCGGAGGGTCTGTTGCGGGCAGAGAGTGAGTGATTGACTGTTGTGCTCTTGACTAGCGTATGTTCAGGCTGTGCGAGGGCTGCTGATGGCCGGCATGAGTCTGGGCTTCGTCGCGGCTGTGCTCTGCTTCATCGGCATGGACTGCACATACATCGGTGGAAGTGCGGAAAAAAAGGATAAAATATTATTCTCCGGAGCTGCTTTTCATTTTGTCGGTGGTGAGTAAAACCATTTATCCAATATTTATGCATTCAAACTATATGCAGCCACACAGAATCTGATCTGTATTTCTGCATATACCGGTTTAATACTAGTAAGCTGAGGCACTAAAGCTCTGAATTCTTCCATTGGTTATAAATCAGCGTGGTTCCTTCCTCCTGAACTAGTCAAGTCTCCTTTATTTATATAGCACTCTTTACAATACAGTGTTTCAAAGCAGCTTTACATAGATAACAGGAACATAATGCAGCAAAGTTTCTTTCCAGAAGAAAATAGCGTCACCGTCCAGCTTAAGTAAGTTCAGTTATGTTTCAGTTTTGTTGTAAAAAGTTATTAATTTAGTTCATTTGTAAATATATAGCCACTCTGGGGAAACCATTGTCATCGTCCTGCTCAGTTCAGTTCTCATATAATAGTGTTAATGCAGGCAGATGAATATTATTGTTGAATATTTAGTGTCCTCAACTAAGCAAGCCGAAAGCCAAGGCAACAGTGGCGAGGAAATCTCCATCAGTGACGGAATGGAGAAAAAACCTTGGGAGAAACCAGGAACTGTTGTGAAATGAAACTAATGTACTCATTTGAAACATATTTTAAAAACAAAGAGTCGGATATTGTTGTGTTTGACCAGCATTCACCCGTACACATACTGAGATCTCTTGTTTCCTCCTCACAGGTGTGTCGGCGCTCGCGGCGTATTGTTTATACACAAACAGGGTCGCCAGCACGGCCTTTTCCCCCGCGGTCGACAGAAGTATTATAAGGTACGTGATACTCCAATAAAAGGCAATGTCATACGGTAACATTATCCAAGCTGGGATGTTTAATCGAGCAGTAGCACACGCTTGTGTTGGTTGCAGCAGGATCAGCAAACTTATATACACAAAAAATAAAGAAAACTAATGCACATTTGAGGAAACACTCAGGAGCAAAAGGAAAAGCGTCATGCTAAAATACTTACCGATAGACATAAGGACAAGGAACTGGACTGAACAGGGAGTATACACTAACTATATAAATGAATTAACATGGGGCAGTGGACACACAATAGTGACTAGGAAACAAGGACAACTAAAAAACAGAAAATAAACAGGAACCAGAAACATAGAAACCTAACCGAGATCAAATGTTTAATTGAAGTAAAATTACATAAAATAATTAAAGTCACTTTATATAAGGTGTCTCTATTACTGTTGTGATGTCAGTCTGTGTTCCCCTGTCTTTTCATGTTTAGCAGTTCCCTGTCATGTTTATTAGTCTTCCCAGGTGTTTTAGATTAGCCCGGCCCCCTTGTTATCTTGTTTAGCTTGTTTGGCCTTGTATTTCAGCCCTGTGTTTTAGTCCAGTCTTTGTGAGTTCTTGTGTTGTTACGGTTGATGTTGGTTGTACTGCTCCTGAGTCCTGTTCATGGTCTGAGTCTTTGTATTGTTTTCAGTTTATTGAATAAAGTGTGCTGCATGTGGATCCTGCTTCCTCCTCGTTTCTACCGCATCGTGACAGAAGAACTCACCGCAAGATGGATCCAGCAGCTGTCAGTAACCAAGTACTAAGGAGATTTCTCTCCTCCATGTTTCAAGATGGCCAGCCGATTAAGAGGTATGTGAAGGACTTCTTGGCTAGCTGTCATCTGGGATCATTAGATGACACCGAGCTCATGGATCTGTTCTTATCTGGAGCGGGCTGGATGCGGATATCGCTCAGCTGATGCCTGATGACTATACCGGCTGGACCCTAGAAGGATATATTGACCTGGCCCTTTACTTGAGCGGTTCAGCTTTTACTGTGGGCTTGGCTGATGAAACACCCCGCAAGCTCACAGTACCCCCTGAGTCAGTTCACATCTCGCCTGTCCAGCCTGAGTTCCTTCATGTCAGCCTAGCCGAGCCTGAGTTTCTCCACGTCACGTCAACCATCAAGCCAGCCATTGAATTGGTCTATGGCCGTCCAGGACTTGTTTCCAGCGTGGCTGATCCCCCGCTGATGTCAGCTCGTGCTGCCAAGAGAACCATCGCTCCCGAGCCCTTCCAGCCAGAGCCTGTCCAGCCCAGAGCCTTCACAGGTCCACGTCAGCCCTGCCGAGCCTGCGCTCCACGTCTCGTCTGCCCAGCCAGAGACCGTTCACGTCCCGCGCGCCGAGACAGTGTCTCCGGACAAGATGGCCACCATCGAACCAGTATCTCCTGAGCAGAGCCTGTCCCAGAGCCTCTTCCTGACTCTGTCACTCTCCCCAAGAATTTTTTTTGGGGGGGGGGGCATAGGTCCCACGGGCCCACGGCCACCAGAAGGGTCTCCTCCGCCGTGGCCGCCCGAAGGGTCTTCTTCCGCCGTGGCCACTCGAGGGGTCTTCTCCGCCATGGCCGCCTGCACAACCTCCTCCACCCTGGCCCCCTGAACTGCGTAGTCCAACTCGGTCTCCTGAACTGCCTGCTCCGACCTGGTCGCCTGCGCAGCCTGCTTCCCCCTGGACACCAGTCCTCACTCAGTCTCCAGGCCCTCTTCCGTTCAATGGCCCAGGTCCGCCCACGTTCCATGGCCCAGGTCTGCCATTGCAAGTCCCTGGTCCCGTTCCCTGCATGGACCTGGTCCTCCATCCCTCCCCCGGGACCGCCTCCGCTCCACCACCCTCCCGAACTGTGTTTCTGGTTTTGATGGGCGTCGGGAGCCGCCCATAGAGGGGGGGCTATGTTGTGATGTCAGTCTGTGTTCCCCTGTCTTTTCATGTTTAGCAGTTCCCTGTCATGTTTATTAGTCTCCCCAGGTGTTTTAGATTAGCCACGCCCCCTTGTTATCTTGTTTAGCTTGTTTGGCCTTGTATTTCAGCCCTGTGTTTTAGTCCAGTCTTTGTGAGTTCTTGTGTTGTTACTGTTGATGTTGGTTGTACTGCTTCTGAGTCCTGTTCCTGGTCTGAGACTTTGTATTGTTTCCAGTTTATTGAATAAAGTGTGCTGCATGTGGATCCTGCTTCCTCCTCGTTTCTACCGCATCGTGACAATTACATACTTGCGTCAAAAATATTGTCAGTTACAATGAACTTATGGTGTTTATGTCGTATTGCAAAACACTGTAATTATAGATTTAATTACATGCAGGCATTTTTTCTAATATAAGTGCAATGTAAAAACATGTATTTACACAACAAGTGCATTGCATCAAATGATTCAGTTAAATGTAAGTAGGCTACACAGTAGTTAAAGACACTAACTACTTTAACACTTTAACAGCAGGAGGCGATGAAGCACACAGATGCTGATACTGTATGAATACACTGCTGTCAGTAACACAGATTCACACACACACACACACACACACACACACACACACACACACACACAGATGCTGATACTGTATGAATACACTGCTGTCAGTAACACAGATTCACACACACACACACAGATGCTGATACTGTATGAATACACTGCTGTCAGTAACACGTGTTCACACACACAGATGTGTAATTAAAAAAATAATTCAGTGTTGATTATGATATGTCAGGGATGTACAAAATAGGCAGATATTTTGTTTACTAGCATTATCACTCATGTGTATTATATCTCTGTGCTGTAGGTATGGCATTGGAACTCCGATATTCCTCGGATTGGCTGGGAATTTCTTAATAATTCTTGGATCTATTTTATATGCTGTGACAGTCATTCCAACAAGGTAAATATATGTTTCAGTTAAAAATTTCTAAACTAATTAAGAATATTTCGTAATATTGTATTCTAAAGTTAAAGGTGAACTATGCAGGTTTTTTACCTCAACCGATCAGCTTCGGAGTCATTGGAATGGTTATATTACTCTTTTCGCAGCATCAGGAAGTGTCGCGTGATATCAGGTCTCGAGTCGTGATGTAACGAATTGCTTTACGGCAAAAAAGATCTGATAAAATTCTGATAAAATAAGCATCAAACTGAAATAACCCGGCGCCGTATACATGTGGTGTTCGAGGCGCACATACAATACAGACTGCCGACAGTTAAACAGGGCGCACAGCTCTTAAAGGGGCCATACCCTATTTCCACTCGTTACAGCGTCCATCCTACTGAACAGGTACCGGTGTACAGGGGGAGGGGATCCGGCCGTGAGTGCAGAGCCATCTCTGCGTGAGTGCTATTCACGACAGTACAAGTACTCCACAACGACTCTAGGGGGCGCTGTTTGACAAAAACGGAAGTCCTGCATAGTGCACCTTTAAAATTAAAAGAAGCTTCAACTAAGTATTAGTTCAGGGGGGGGGGTGAACACTTATGCAGTTAGTTATTCCAAGCCACAAAAGTTTTGGTTTTCAGTGGCGTTGGTTGCATAGATTGTATTTTTTACATTAAAGCTGCAAAAGATTTAAATTAATATTTGTTTAATTTCTTTTAAAACAGTTGAAAAACAGCTGTTTTAATGTGATGTTACTTTTTTATATTCACTGTAGCAAGAACTAACAATAAACAATATCTCCATACAGCATTTACTAACCTTTGTTAATGTTATTCAATAAAAATGTTAGTTCAGAGTGCATTAATATTAACAGATACAACATTTGATCTTAAAAATGTATTAGCGAATGTTGAGATTAATAAATACTATGGTAGCATTTTTTATTCTTAGTTCATGTTAACTGGATGTAGTTTGTAATAACTAATGTTAACAAATGAAATTTGTTGTTACAGAATATTTTTATAGCAAATGTGAAGATTGATGTAGCGTTCTCTCTTACAGGATGTTGAGTGCGTTTGCAGCGAGAGCAGAAGCCTCTCCGTCGTACGGCCAGCGGACGGCTAGTAAATCTCTCTACGCTCCAGCGTACCGCGCTCCATCGGGACCGTCCAGCGGCTCTCGCGGCTCCAGCGTCTCACGCGCCACAGGGGACAAAATACATGCCAGAGACACGTTTGTGTGAAACCTCAAAAGAGCTCTTTGACACGACAACCAGCAATAAAGTCTAAGCAGCTGCATGTTGGGTTCACTTTGTAAAAAGTCTTTCATTTGGTTTCAGTCATTGATCAACTATTAGTTTATGTTATTACACTCGGGCGCTCAAGAAGGCAGCCTAAAAAATCCATAGCTGGAAGAAAACAAAACTAGAGGTTTTTCATGTTTCATGGAAGGAAAGTGTTATTGCATACAGAAAGACCTTATCGGCTTTCTTAGAAGAGAACAAACACAACCCTAGGTATTTATTTGATACATCGGGCATTTTTCAAAAATATTGCATTCGAAGCTCATAAAAATCAAATATTCGTTTATTTAAATGACGTTTAATGTTTTTTAAGTAAATTTTTTAAAAAGTTTTTGTCACCATTTCTGGGCAAGCTTACGATTAGGCAATATAGACAACAAGCATACAATATATGTTAAAGTTTTCTTTTAGTTGAAAACATTGAACAGTGTGTGTAAACAAAAAATATAAAGAACAAAAGCATTTAAGCTCAAGCAGCGCCAACAGAAAAAAACGCCTAATAAAGCAGACCGCGCAGTTATCGTGCAGAACATATACATGCACTCGAGTCAGCATATGATTATCATGTTTATATTCACGTTTATGTTAAGAAAAACAAAAAAATCCACATGCTTCGAGTGAGAAACGCGCTGCGCTGACAGATGTTGCAGACACACACAGATAACGGTGTGCTAGGCGAAGTTTCTAACAGCAAAGACCCTTTTTCTGTTTTTAAACCCGTCTCCCTCAACGAAACTTAAAGGAAGTATATGTCTCAAAATAATTTAGCTATCAGATAAGTTATCATCTTCCCGGCTCACGCGGGGTCCAGCTGAGTTTCCCTGCAGTCGTGATGCAGTGATGGACAGCTCAGTCCACTGCTGTTTGGATTTCATGTGATTTCTCATTGTGGTGATGATATTATAACTCAGATTCATTAATTCATTTGATCAAAAGTAATTCCATTTAGTAAGATCATTTTCATGTAATTCCAAACTTTGCGAGGCAGACGACAACATTATGTGATCAAATACAAACAACTTGTTAACACGCTCCACAGCGCCACCCAGTGCATTTAATTATAACTGAGTTAGTGCTTAGGATTTATCATGGATTCAATGCATTTACGGCAAGCAAAGCAACGTAGAAAAACAAAGACATGGAATTTGTTGCAGCATTTCCAATGATGCTTGAATAATAATTCTTATGAGCAGTATTCATAGCAGAATGGTAAACAGACGGTTGTTGAGTGTAATGATACGTTCAGACAGGGATCGTTAACATTCATTTCAAAAGTAATAAATCTATGTCACTTATGCTCATGTCAATACTATCCAGAGATTCAATACCAACTCCAGCAGAACAAACCACATCCAATATATAGCCCAACCTATGGGTTGGAAAAGTAACATGATGTGTAAAATCAAAACCATCCAAAATGTCCAAATAGGAGACAGCAACACAAGTTGGATTATCAACATGAAAATGTATATTACCAGTCAAGACCATAGCAGGACAGAGTGGACTGAGAAGTGTCAACAACTCAGTAAACTCAGAAAAATAAAGGATTTGGTTTTGTGGACGGTAAATGAGCAGCACAAGAACAGGTGAAACACCACTGATTTTAAAAACCAGACATTCGAATGATGAAACACTTGGAGCATCAATAACATTAATAGATATGTTAGATCCAAATATAACAGCCAAGCCACCATCTTTACCCGAAGCTCGAGCAGGTCAATAAATTTATATCCAGATGGGGCACACATATTCAGATGCCATGTTTCACTAAGATTAAGAATGTAAATTTTACTGTCGAGTATAGTATCAGAGATGAGTGCCGTTTTATTGTTTATTGACCTTGTGTTGAAGTGTGCAATTTGCATAGTGCTAAGGTATACATTCGCCGCAAACTTCTGAGAGACAACCTCCGGATAGTGTAGATTTCCATGACAGATACCTTCAGGTAAGACTCAAAAGAGTTCAAATTTAAAATGTTAAACAAAACTAAATGAGGCGAGAGAAGCGGCAGCCTACGCGCGCCAGCGTCCTCTCCGAACCTCGTTGAGTAAATAGTCAAATGAACAAAGATGTTGTTATACACTGCTGTCAGTAACACTTGTTCATGTACACAGATTGTTGAGCTGCTCAAATCAAGATAGGCTTGAGGTTTTTTATTGTTATTATGATGTGGAGTGTAGATTGATGTGAAACTTAAAACACTTATAAAACATGCTTACTCTCTGAACCGGCTGTAAATTAACGAGAAATAAAGCTTCAACTTCCGACGTTTCCAAACTGCACAGCAGTAATGACTTTATTCATTCCTTTACTTGTGTAATCGCTCCAAATCAAACTGTGTCTCCGACGTGGGAGGCGGAGGAGGCTAAAGACTCTAGCATCAGTCGCTAGTTGAGAGAAATATTTACTCTTTTTAGTACATTTTGGTAAAAAAAATTCCTAGACATCATTGTTTTGGCAGTGTTTAGGCCCAATATTCTCATCTTTGATGACCATTTTGACTGTTTAGGATTTTTTTTTTTTCATTTACAAAGTACTACAGCTGTCTTGATGGAAATGTATCACTTTTCCAAAAAAGTATTGTCCGGACCTCCACTGGGAAGGAAATATAGTGACGGACCTCTTGGAACTTTCATTGAAACCCCTGGTCTATGACATCATTGCGTAAACACCCTTTTGGAATCCACGAGGTGACATTTGTAATACACAAGCATGTAATCCGGGTGTCTGTATATAATAAACACAGTGTGCGAGTGGCATTGATGACACCACAAACAAGCAGCGTCCTCGCCCTCAGACCAGTGAAAGCCCCAGATCCCTTCAGTACACCTTACGGAAGCTGCGTTTGTCTTTCAGCGGACTTTAAAAGATCATCTATATTATCTTCTCTATCTGCATCAGACAATCCCAGCATGCACTACAGAACGCTGCTGATGTACACTGAAATAGGCTGCTTCGTAGCGTGCGTCTGCGGCTGGATCTTGATCTGCTCCACTATGCCCACGGAGTACTGGACTTACTCTGAGGTGGCCAGTTTAGTCCTCACATCTTCCCACTATTTCTCCAACCTCTGGAAAGACTGTCTCTCCGACTCCACCGGTGTGTCCGACTGCAAGGAGTTCCCCTCGCTGCTGGCTCTGCAGAGTAAGTGTTCTCCGAGAGCTTCTTCATTCAGTCAGTAATGTCTGTACAGCTCCTGAACGTGTGTTCTGTTAGTGAGTAGGGACTGATAGACAGTGAACTGACACTGACGTTTCATGACAATCAAGAGTAGAGAGACATGCTGTTGCATTATATGTGGCTATAATGATACAAAAATAATAAACCATTGTTTTGGCTACAGGAAATAAGATAAAGTTGTTGAATTTCATCCTTTTTATATACATGCAGTCAAACCAAAAATGATTCAAGTTTAGTGGTGTTAGTGGTATTATTAGTGGTTCAGGTAGTTCATTTATGTAAGTGAGGAGAGCAAAATAAAGTAAACTGTGATTATACCCAAAACCTCTTCATACAGAGACTACCAGTAACATTTTTAACAATTCGGGACCAATAATGATTCCTCCACTTTGAGCTGATCATGTTTTGCTGAAGTGTGTTTTCTGTAACTGCTAATGCTCTTTTTACACACACACTGAACAACATGAAGCATTGCTTGGTCACTGGTTGAGCTAAACTGGTATTATCTAATTGTGTAGTTAAATTTAACAGCTGACAGATATTCAACATAATTCATGTGTGAGAAACAGAAGGACGGACAAAACCAGTGAAATATCCACTGATCTGGGAACTCTGAGTTCTGCTCATATTTACTACCATTTTCTAAACTATACCGAATAAACTGTGATAATGTGAGAAATGTTGAAGCTGTCTGAATAAATTTTGGTTTGACTGTATAATACTTGATTTTATCCATGGGGAATTGATTGGCTGATTGGATGGTTGTGGTTTGCTATTGGCTGATTGCATGTGAGTGACAGGTTAAAGCCCCGCCCTCATCATCAGAGAAGAGAAGAGATGCTGCAAGAGGAACTTATTCTGATTCAAGATTATTAATACAATAATTATGTGCACCCATAAATCTTTTAGAATGGGTTTGCAAAATATTAATCACATAATACAATATTACTGCATTGTGAAAAACACTAAATAAATAAATAAATGTGACTATTGTTGTGTCCATCTTTCAACAGCACACATTCATCTGTGCCGATCTCTCGTCATCACATCCATAGCTCTGGGATTCTTCGGATCCGCTCTGGCTTTGGTGGGGATGAAGTGCACAAAACTCGGAGGCTCTGAAACTGTGAATGCAAGAATAACCTTCGCTGCAGGGATCAACTACTTGTTGTCAGGTAAAGCCAGCGCTTGTCCAGCCGGTCCAGCATGCTCCGGCTCCTCTGAACTCTTGTGTCTCTGCTTCAGGTCTCTGCGGCATGTTGGCTTACAGCTGGTACGGCCACAAGGTGATTGCGGAGTTCATGGATCCCAACTACAAGGCCAAAAAGTGAATATTTCAGTACAGAAATGAAATGTGCAGTTGATGCGGATCCGAGTTGTAACGGTGTCTCTTGTGGCGACAGGTTTGAGCTGGGAGTGGCGCTGTTTGTGGGATGGGGCGGATCGGCGCTCCTGCTGGCCGGAGGACTCGTGTACAGCGTCACCGCAGGGAACCAGGCCTGCCAGTCCAGGTATCAATCTGATGACAATAACCCGTAACTCTGAGTGAATCGCAGGAGGACAGGAGTGATACTGTGCTTTGAGAAAACGAAGCCTATTTTACAACCAAGTGCCTTGAGATTCCCCCTTCAATACAACATGGAGATACACTTTATTTCAAGGTGTTCTTGTTACAGTGTAATACTGAGTAATATTAATTAGCATGTGCTTACTACAGGGTTATTAGCCTTTACAGTCTTACAGAGTGCTTACCTAAGAAAGTACTGGGTAATATTAAGAAAACTACATGGGTAAGATCAGGTTTACCTAGTGTCACGTAACTGCTCTGAGACTTGGGTGAAGATCCAAATGCAGTTCTATTGGGGCAATCCAAAATCATAATCCATGTTAGTGATGGGACGGTTGATATGGGGCTCCGATGCAGTTTTTAAAGCACTATTGTATCACACATTGTTCAGATGCTTGTATCGAAATGACAACACCACGTGATTGATGACGTTTGAGGCTTCGACCCTCATGCAGTATCGGAAGGTCGGGACAGCTGATTTTAAAAAATTGCCGCGTCGCGAGATCACGACCCCACCTGATGCATAAAAGGGAAAAAAATTATTGAGGCGGCATTATTTATTTAAATTCACTATACACTATATCAGGGTTTCTCAAACTCGGTCCTGGAGGGCCACTGTCCTGCAGAGTTTAGCTCCAACCCTGATCAAACACACCTGAGCAAGCTAATCAAGGTCTTCAGGATCACTAGAAACACACTGGTAGGTGTGTTTGATCAGGGTTGGAGCTAAACTCTGCAGGACAGTGGCCCTCCAGGACCAAGTTTGAGAAACCCTGCACTATATACACTACATTTCCCTATAACAAATTGTAAAAAAAAACACTCAAAATATTTTTTAACTAATATAACACTTTTCTCAAACTCAAAGTCGCTTTACAGGGCAGGTAAATATAAAGATTCAGGCACAGATAAAAATGGAAGGGGCGTGGGGCTACGAATAGGCAGAGGTGAAGAGATGGGACTTGAGGCGGGACTGGAAGATGGTGAGGGACTCAGAGATGCGGATCTCATGGGGGAGGGAGTTCTAGAGCCTGGAACTCCCAGGAAATATGTTTTATTGCTGTTGAGTTTGAGGAAGTTGTGTTGCATCCAGGTTTTAATAGCTGACAGACAAGAGTTGATGTGGGAGAGGGAAAGATCGTGGGGGATTTGGTGCTGAGGTAGATCTGGGTGTCATCGGCATAACAGTGGAAGTTCAGGTTTAAGTGGCCAAGGGTGAGAATGTAGATGATGAAGAGGAGGGGGGCCGAGTACGAAGCCTTGGGGAACGCCTTGGGTGACTGTGGCTGTGGCAGAGGTGTGGTTATGAAGAGAGATGAAGTGAACACAAACAAACAAGACCATTCTTGTATGTCATGAACTTCCTTAGCTTTATTTGGTCACATGCCTTTCCGCTCCGCAGTGATTTGTAAGATATTGTGGAGAAAACAAGTCTGACCACCAGATGTCGCTAATGCGCATTGTGTTAAAAGCTTTGATGAACCGTTTTTCGGCACAATTTGATGAAAGCCTTCACTAAAGTTTCCCATCACTAATCCATGTAACAGGCAGTGGGTCAAATACAAACAATGACAGAGTCCAGGACAGGCAAACAGGGAAATCCAGGAAACCAGGCAGATGATCCAAAGCATTAACACGGGAAGCCAAAGAGAGCGCGCTCAGAATTGCAGTGTGACACAAACAAGACTTCGCCAAGAATGACTGAAAGCACAGGGCTTATATAGGCAGAGTCAACAAGGGTAATGAGAAACAGAAAGTAATTAGGCATAATGAGTCCAGGTTATGGGAATTGAAGTCCATGAAAGGAAAGCAATGGAGTCAGGAGGAGTGCCCTCTGGTGGAGAACATCCAGCTGGTGGATGCAACACCTCATTATTACCCAGTTATAAGTACATAGTCTGTACATAGAGAAGAGGACTGTGAAATATAATAATAATAATTCGTTACATTTATATAGCGCTTTTCTAGGTACTCAAAGCTCTTTACATAGAGGGGGGAATCTCCTCAATCTCCTCAACCACAACCAATGTGCAGCACCACCTGGATGAAGCGACGGCATCCATATTGTGCCAGACACACACACACCAGCTTACTGGTGGAGAGGAGACGGAGAGATGAAGCCAATCAGTGTATATGGATGATTAGGAGACCATGATGGACAGAGGCCACTGGGAAAATTTAACCAGGACACTGGGGTTACACCCCTACTCTTTTTCCGAAGGACATCCTGGGATTTTTAATGACCACAGAGAGTCAGGACCTCGTTCAACGTCTCATCTGAAGGACGGGTATATATACTGTGCTACCAGGTTTGGTTTAGGGTAGTTGCATGTAATAATGCATAATTTAATGTTATTACTAGAGTAAGTACATGCTACAAGGACACTAAAATTAAGTGTTACTCAACATCCATGCGAAAGGCAACTAGTGTGTAATCAAGAAAGTGTGCTTGTGTAAAAATGTAAGTTTTCATAAATTGAGGGACCGGGAGTCTGTTTTATTTCCGAAGTGCTTCCCCTGCTTTATTTCAATGGTCCACTTTAGACATTCTCCTGACTGTAAGTAACTTTGCAACTACATGTCGCCTTATTCTACTAACCCGAACCCTAACCTAACAGTACTAATACTCTAATGAGAGGTAGTTGACATGTAGGTACAATGTTACTTATGCTTAGTAGAATGTCTGAAGTGAACCACTGAAATAAACCAACGTTTTTATGAATTTTCTACAAAGATGTCCTGCTACTGAACATAATCATGATTTAATATTTGTGCCTTCAGCTCCAAGACCCAAGAGAAGTCATATCAGAGTCGTTCCTCTGAGGCGAAGCAGAAGTCGCTGTACACTCATCCGCCATCGCCCGTCCCGAACAGAGCCAAGCCGAAGCCGAAGCCCGAGCCCGAGCCCAAGCCCAGCAGGCCTGCTAAAGGGTTTCACAGTGTGGACGCCTATGTCTGATATCCTCCTGTTTTACCATGCGTTTATCTGGAAAACCTCTTTATTGGTAGTGTAAAGCATTCTGTGAATCTTTATGCAAGTCTTTTTTTAACATCATCAACATTGTGATCAAGACACAAAATTAATTGTTTTACAGTAATAAATTGGAGTGACTTTAGTCTATCCTGATGACTGTGTCACGGTGATGCTCTTCAAATCTCCATTATCTCAGATTTTAGTCGTTTCGTCTCTTTGTTCCTGTTTTAACTGGATTATTCACTGCTGCCCCATGTTAGTCCGTCAGCGTGTGCAGGGTTTATCACTGATGAAGCGGAAGAGATGCAATGTCAAATACAGTCGCTTTTATGAAGCAACAAAAACACTTTTCATTCAGACCTTTATGTACTGGGTAATACAGAGCCAATTTTCTGCCATAAAGTAATGAAACTTGTTTGTTAACAAATGATTAATGAAATCATTGTTTCTGCCGAAAATTATTACATTGTTTAAATTAATACATTTCTAGCTACCTGTGATTTTGTATATGTACATTTCTGAAATAACTTAGACAGTTTCCTCTGATATCAGATCACTCTAAATTGTAATGTGGACTCATGCATTTTCTGTAAAGCTGCATTGAAACGTGTATTGTGAAAAGCACTATACAAATAAATGTGAATTAAATATAAAGTTCAACACAATCCTAAACTACTTAAATACTAATAAAGTGGGTCTACACTCACCTAAAGAATTATTAGGAACACCATACTAATACTATGTCTGACCCCGTTTCGCCTTCAGAACTGCCTTAAAGGTGGGGTATGTGATTTGGAAAACGACCAGCAGGTTTTGAAAATATACAATTCAAATGGTCCTACCTTCTTTCCTCCAACGCCGGCTCTGACTCCACCCATTCGAAGAACATGGACGCGCAATCATGCACGAGCGAAAACTCAGATGCGCGAGAGATTGTAATGACGATTTACTACTAATCATGGAACCGGCTTTACTGACAAGATGCGGATGCGTCACAAACTTTGAGTATGCGCACGACGGGGGTCACGCGCGCTGGGGGGAGGGGGGTGTGGTACAACCGTTTGATTAACGGACTTACTGTCCAATGATTCTGGTGGTCTTGGAAATGATTGGCTGGAGTTTTTCGAGTCCTGCCCGTTCCAGAGATGATTAAATTGCTTAATTTTCATTTCAGTGCTTCTAACTCAGTGGCTGTAAGTGGGTTAGGAATAGGATTTCAAGTTATTTTGAAAAAATGTACAAAAAAGAGAATCACATACCCCACCTTTAATTCTACGTGGCATTGATTCAACAAGGTGCTGAAAGCATTCTTTAGAAATGTTGGCCCATATTGATAGGATAGCATCTTGCAGTTGATGCAGATTTGTGGGATGCACATCCAGGGCATGAGGCTCCCGTTCCACCACATCCCAAAGATGCTCTATTGGGTTGAGATCTAGTGACTGTGGGGGCCATTTTAGTACAGTGAACTCATTGTCATGTTCAAGAAACCAATTTGAAATGATTCGAGCTTTGTGACATGGTGCATTATCCTGCTGGAAGTAGCCATCAGAGCATGGGTACATGGTGGCCATAAAGGGATGGACATGGTCAGAAACAATGCTCAGGTAGGCCGTGGCATTTAAACGATGCCCAATTGGCACTAAGGGGCCTAAAGTGTGCCAAGAAAACATCCCCCACACCATTACACCACCACCACCAGCCTGCACAGTGGTAACAAGGCATGATGGATCCATGTTCTCATTCTGTTTACGCCAAATTCTGACTCTACCATCTGAATGTCTCAACAGAAATCGAGACTCATCAGACCAGGCAACATTTTTCCAGTCTTCAACTGTCCAATTTTGGTGAGCTCTTGCAAATTGTAGCCTCTTTTTCCTATTTGTAGTGGAGATGAGTGGTACCCGGTGGGGTCTTCTGCTGTTGTAGCCCATCCGCCTCAAGGTTGTGCGTGTTGTGGCTTCACAAATGCTTTGCTGCATACCTCGGTTGTAACGAGTGGTTATTTCAGTCAAAGTTGCTCTTCTATCAGCTTGAATCAGTCTGGCCATTCTCCTCTGACCTCTAGCATCAACAAGGCATTTTCGTCCACAGGACTGCCGCATACTGGATGTTTTTCCCTTTTCACACCATTCTTTGTAAACCCTAGAAATGGTTGTGCGTGAAAATCCCAGTAACTGAGCAGATTGTGAAATACTCAGACCGGCCCGTCTGGCACCAACAACCATGCCACGCTCAAAATTGCTTAAATCACCTTTCTTTCCCATTCTGACATTCAGTTTGGAGTTCAGGAGATTGTCTTGACCACAGGACCACACCCCTAAATGCATTGAAGCAACTGACATGTGATTGGTTGATTAGATAATTGCATTAATGAGAAATTAAACAGGTGTTCCTAATAATCCTTTAGGTGAGTGTATATATTTTTTATTTAGTTTTATTTTGATAAACACGACACAATATAGCATTGAGGTTACATGAAAAGAGATTTTACTGTTATAAAAACAAATTTGTGAGCATCAGCTGAGCTGTATCAGAATAAACGGGAAACACGTGATCGGTGTCATCGGTGAATAAGGCCAATCATCTGCTCAGCTCAAACACACCTGTTATCTGTTTGTCTGATGAAAAAAAGCTGTTTCAACAAAGACTGGATATATTGCAAGTTTAGAAGGTTATATTAGTTTTTGAAGGTTTGCTTTTTAAAACTCCTCCCCACACCAAATATATGCCTATGAACACATGTATTTGTATATTTTCAGTCTAGTGCTTATCATGTAACTTGGCTTCTGATGTATACTTTTGATGTGCCCACTTGAAGACCCTAGAGATGTCCCCTACTTGGCTCAATCCAGACGGTTGTCGTGCTGGTCCACTAGGGAGACCACACTGTAGTTGCAGCCGTCGTGTGTGCTGACGCGCCAAGTACACTGCAGTCGTTAACGCCGGACAGAAGGGGAGTCACACCACCATATGGAAAGAAGCGTAAATGGGTGAAGCATAGTTTACTGTTAGCTACGTCTTAGTGTTGCTTATCTTGGCGAAAGCCGAGTACAAATCAGCATGAAGTTTTAACATCTACTCTTGTGTAATGGAAATCTTAATACAAACGGTGAAATCTAAGCACCCCAAAGTTCATGAATCAAGGTCAAGAATTCAAGAAAACACGTCTGAGACTGCATGAGGCAACAGAACAATCACGTCTTGATTTATTATAAATTCAAAGACAGAACATTTCAGAGGATCTCTTTCAGAATGCATTACACTTCTCTTAGTAAAAATATCAGTTTTTTTATAATCAAATCACTGAGGCTGATTTCATCCTGAGGTTACAGTCATCACATTGATCATCATGGGCTGTAGGATCATGTGGACCACGTGACGTGGACGGGGCTGAAGTCCCAGCGGTCCGGATGACCCATGTGCGGGAGGTCTCCGTACGGCGAGCGGCTCCACTGGAACACAGGCGTCTGATCCCATGTGGGACCGCTGACCGCTAACAGCTCGAGCCGCTGGAACAGGCCGAAGCTCGTCATCTGCAGGAGGACAGGGGCGTTATAACACTCAAAACATCTGAAGGAAGAAAGGGGCGTTACAACACTCAACATTTGCAGGAGGACAGGGGCATTACAACACTCATCATCTGCAGGAGGACAGGGGCGTTACAACACTCAACAACATCTGCAGGAGGACAGGGGCGTTACAACACTCAAAACATCTGCAGGAAGAAAGGAGCGTTACAACACTCAACATCTGCAGGAGCACAGGGGCGTTACAACACTCAACATCTGCAGGAGGACAGCAGCATTACAACACTCAACATCTGCAGGAGGACAGGAGCGTTACAACACTCAACAACATCTGCAGGAGGACAGGAGCGTTACAACACTCAACATCTGCAGGAGGACAGGGGCGTTACAACACTCAACATCTGCAGGAGGACAGGAGCGTTACAACACTCAACAACATCTGCAGGAGGACAGGGGCGTTACAACACTCAACATCTGCAGGAGGACAGGGGCGTTACAACACTCAACATCTGCAGGAGGACAGGGGCGTTACAACACTCAACATCTGCAGGAGGACAGGGGCGTTACAACACTCAACATCTGCAGGAGGACAGGGGCGTTACAACACTCAACAACATCTGCAGGAGGACAGGGGCGTTACAACACTCAACATCTGCAGGAGGACAGGAGCGTTACAACACTCAACAACATCTGCAGAAGGACAGGAGCGTTACAACACTCAACATCTGCAGGAGGACAGGGGCGTTACAACACTCAACATCTGCAGGAGGACAGGGGCGTTACAACACTCAACAACATCTGCAGGAGGACAGGGGCGTTACAACACTCAACATCTGCAGGAGGACAGGAGCGTTACAACACTCAACAACATCTGCAGAAGGACAGGAGCGTTACAACACTCAACATCTGCAGGAGGACAGGGGCGTTACAACACTCAACATCTGCAGGAGGACAGGAGCGTTACAACACTCAACATCTGCAGGAGGACAGGGGTGTTACAACACTCAAATCTGCAGGAGGACAGGAGCGTTACAACACTCAACAACATCTGCAGAAGGACAGGAGCGTTACAACACTCAACATCTGCAGGAGGACAGGGGCGTTACAACACTCAACATCTGCAGGAGGACAGGAGCGTTACAACACTCAACATCTGCAGGAGGACAGGGGCGTTACAACACTCAACAACATCTGCAGGAGGACAGGAGCGTTACAACACTCAACATCTGCAGGAGGACAGGGGCGTTACAACACTCAACAACATCTGCAGGAGGACAGGAGCGTTACAACACTCAACAACTGTAGGAGGACAAGGGCGTTACAACACTCAACAACTGTAGGAGGACAAGGGCGTTACAACACTCAACATCTGCAGGAGGACAGGAGCGTTACAATACTCAACAACATCTGCAGGAGGACAGGAGCGTTACAACACTCAACAACTGCAGGAGGACAGGGGCGTTACAACACTCAACATCTGCAGGAGGACAAGGGCGTTACAACACTCAACATCTGCAGGAGGACAGGGGCGTTACAACACTCAACATCTGCAGGAGGACAGGGGCATTACAACACTCAACATCTGCAGGAGGACAGGGGCGTTACAATACTCAACAACATCTGCAGGAGGACAGGGGCGTTACAACACTCAACATCTGCAGGAGGACAGGAGCGTTACAATACTCAACAACATCTGCAGGAGGACAGGAGCGTTACAACACTCAACAACTGCAGGAGGACAGGGGCGTTACAACACTCAACAACATCTGCAGGAGGACAGGGGCGTTACAACACTCAACATCTGCAGGAGGACAGGGGCGTTACAACACTCAACATCTGCAGGAGGACAGGGGCGTTACAACACTCAACAACATCTGCAGGAGGACAGGGGCGTTACAACACTCAACAACATCTGCAGGAGGACAGGAGCGTTACAACACTCAACATCTGCAGGAGGACAGGGGCGTTACAACACTCAACATCTGCAGGAGGACAGGAGCGTTACAACACTCAACATATGCAGGAGGACAGGGGCGTTACAACACTCAACATCTGCAGGGGGACAGGGGCGTTACAACACTCAACATCTGCAGGAGGACAGGGGCGTTACAACACTCAACATCTGCAGGAGGACAGGGGCGTTACAACACTCAACATCTGCAGGAGGACAGGAGCGTTACAACACTCAACATATGCAGGAGGACAGGGGCGTTACAACACTCAACATATGCAGGAGGACAGGGGCGTTACAACACTCAACATCTGCAGGAGGACAGGGGCGTTACAACACTCAACATCTGCAGGAGGACAGGGGCGTTACAACACTCAACATATGCAGGAGGACAGGGGCGTTACAACACTCAACATCTGCAGGAGGACAGGGGCGTTACAACACTCAACATCTGCAGGAGGACAGGAGCGTTACAACACTCAACATCTGCAGGAGGACAGGGGCGTTACAACACTCAACATCTGCAGGAGGACAGGGGCGTTACAACACTCAACATCTGCAGGAGGACAGGGGCGTTACAACACTCAACATCTGCAGGAGGACAGGGGCGTTACAACACTCAACATCTGCAGGAGGACAGGGGTGTTACAACACTCAACAACTGCAGGAGGACAGGGGCGTTACAACACTCAACATCTGCAGGAGGACAGGGGCGTTACAACACTCAACATCTGCAGGAGGACAGGGGCGTTACAACACTCAACATCTGCAGGAGGACAGGAGCGTTACAACACTCAACATCTGCAGGAGGACAGGAGCGTTACAACACTCAACATCTGCAGGAGGACAGGGGCGTTACAACACTCAACATCTGCAGGAGGACAGGGGCGTTACAACACTCAACATCTGCAGGAGGACAGGGGCGTTACAACACTCAACATCTGCAGGAGGACAGGGGCGTTACAACACTCAACATCTGCAGGAGGACAGGGGTGTTACAACACTCAACAACTGCAGGAGGACAGGGGCGTTACAACACTCAACATCTGCAGGAGGACAGGGGCGTTACAACACTCAACATCTGCAGGAGGACAGGGGCGTTACAACACTCAACATCTGCAGGAGGACAGGGGCGTTACAACACTCAACATCTGCAGGAGGACAAGGGCGTTACAACACTCAACATCTGCAGGAGGACAGGGGCGTTACAACACTCAACATCTGCAGGAGGACAGGGGCGTTACAACACTCAACAACTGCAGGAGGACAGGGGCGTTACAACACTCAACATCTGCAGGAGGACAGGGGAGTTACAACACTCAACAACTGCAGGAGGACAGGAGCGTTACAACACTCAACATCTGCAGGAGGACAGGGGCGTTACAACACTCAACATCTGCAGGAGGACAGGGGCGTTACAACACTCAACATCTGCAGGAGGACAGGAGCGTTACAACACTCAACATCTGCAGGAGGACAAGGGCGTTACAACACTCAACATCTGCAGGAGGACAGGGGCGTTACAACACTCAACATCTGCAGGAGGACAGGGGCGTTACAACACTCAACATCTGCAGGAGGACAGGGGTGTTACAACACTCAACATCTGCAGGAGGACAGGAGCGTTACAACACTCAACATCTGCAGGAGGACAAGGGCGTTACAACACTCAACATCTGCAGGAGGACAGGGGCGTTACAACACTCAACATCTGCAGGAGGACAGGGGCGTTACAACACTCAACATCTGCAGGAGGACAGGAGCGTTACAACACTCAACATCTGCAGGAGGACAAGGGCGTTACAACACTCAACATCTGCAGGAGGACAGGGGCGTTACAACACTCAACATCTGCAGGAGGACAGGGGCGTTACAACACTCAACAACTGCAGGAGGACAGGGGCGTTACAACACTCAACATCTGCAGGAGGACAGGGGCGTTACAACACTCAACATCTGCAGGAGGACAGGGGCGTTACAACACTCAACATCTGCAGGAGGACAGGGGCGTTACAAATCGCCAGCGCGATTGCCGACCCCAGAGGGTTAAAATCCTCCGTCATTTATGGTCATACAGACAAAAGAAATATGAAAAAATAAACTGTAAAAGGTCTAATTTTGTATGTGGCCACTTAGAATCGAAACAAAACATTGTGCTTTTGTAAAATAAAGAAAATAAACAGTGTGAACTTTTTTTCTGGAGCTCGTCTCTAAACTGAAACAAAACACAGCAAATACAATATATCTTTATAAACATTTAAGTGTCTACTTTTAAATTACCTAATTCAAAACATAAACAAATATTCTCTGTTTAAGTAGTTTGTATGAAACCATCAAGATGTCCAGTTTCTCAAGCGCGTGCTCATTAGCACTAATGTGACCACATCCACACGCACACAAAAGAGATTCACATACAAATCGTCCACGTGAAGGAACGCAGAGCTGTAAACGCCCTCATCACCTTTAAACAAACTTCATCAGTCCTCTACTTTTCATCGAGTTTGAAAGACAAGCTGTGAGTTTACCTTGGATTTACCTCAGAAGAGAAGATTTTAAGGTAAGAAATGTATCCTCACTTATTAGTTAGCAGGATATTGTTGCATAAACTTCACATTGTACTAGATGAACTGTTGCTAGACTAAAATGTACGGAAACGTTGAAATATGAAATATAGATGGCAATGCTAAATAAATATACATGTACGACATAAGGATGTTTTTATGTTCGATAATAAAACACAGCATGATATAAAAGTAGGCTAGTATGAGTGTTTACTCTAATATGGTGAATATTATAATGTTTAGACCAGTGTGTTTACTTTTAATACTGTGTTTGTGGATATCTGCTCAAACGTAGATATGTATAATGTGGTAACAGTGTTTCATAGATCGAGCCGATCGCTTCAGTAAATGTTCTTTGCATGCGCTGTGAGTTTGAAAAGCAAACGCGCCAAACAATAGGCTTTATGTTTTTACTCCAATCTCATTTCATAACATCTGAAAACATTTGAAGTAACATATAATAATCCATATATTTTTCCCTAGTGTAGTGTACTGAAGTGTTGTAAAGTTATAGGCCGCCTGCATTTCTTCCCTCCAAACATTAGTTTTCTGTAAAGTAAATATAATTATTTTATGTAGCCCTACAAGTATATGCCTACAAGATACAACAAACCTGGTGTTCTTCATATATATTTCTTGTGAATTTTAAATCTAAATATTAACTAAGTATTATAAGTTGTTTCCGCTGTTGTCAGGAAGAAATGCAAGTGATGGCGCCGGCTAATACTTCAGCTTCCACACGCCGCACTAACACTTGGATATGCGCAGAATAATAACACACGTGTCTAGGTTAACGTTAGAGAGAGCGGCCAAGTTACATGTTTCAAATGATCAGCTGTGTTTGAGGTCGATGGATGATGGGCGAACGCTTGGATTTCCTGTTCATACTGTAAAATCATGAGGATTTTAATTTCTGCGACAAACAGAATAAATAAAATCTTGGTCAACTAATCCTCTTCTAGTCGACTAATGTTTAGTTGACTATTAGGGGGCAGCCCTAAAAAAAAATGTATCCGATAAGATGTGCATAAAATATGATGGAAAATATAATATTATATAATTTACTGAATAAATCCCTCAAAATCCTCAAGTGACTTTGGCTCAGCGTCAGCTGTGATTGGATAACTGGAGTAACCAGCGGACCAATGGCATCGCAACGTCTCTAATGTTGGTTTGGTGTTTCTGAAACGCCGGAGTCGAAGTGTGTGATCAGAATGATTGGGTTTAATTCCCTCCAGAAGCGTCTCACACACACGAGTGTGTTCCCGTACACCAGCATCCGAAGGCTAGAGAACACGACAGCGTTTACTGTGTTTCGTCTGACACTTGAGACACTCACTTATGATGGAGGGAAAAAGAACCACATTGCAGAAACTTACAGTTTATTACTGATATTTTGCACCAGGAAGTGACGATTTTGCTTGTTATTTAACAGATAGGATGGAAACTGAGCTTTATATGGGAATGATATATACTCTGGGTGTAAACAGTGATGGCCACTGACCTTCATGTCGGTCCCGCCGTGTGGCCGCTGCTGCAGGGCCCCGAACGGGTACGAGCCGTTGGCAGGGTTCAGGTCGGATCGGGCAGAGATGGAGTTCTCCCCGTTCTGGACCGGGTCACAGGCGTCGCAGCGGGACAACGGGTCTTCCCGATAGTTATTATACCTGCAGAACACACACACACAGGCCAGATGAAGCCGGAAGCAATGGGAGAAACACAACACACAGATGAGACCTCAGCGATGTTCCCGCCCAGAACTTGGTTACTGTGGTTTTTAAGTGTAATGCCACCACTATGTCGCATTCCTCCTCTAGTATATAGCCAGCAGTGTTGCCAGAATTTTGACCTCTGTACGATGTACGATCAATAATAAAAAAATCCCATCATGTACGATAATTTCAGAATTGTGTGACACTTCAGATGATGGTGGTTGTAATCATAGGGCTTCTGTATATTGTGCATCTTTACATATAAACTTTAAAAACTATATTTCCTTTTGTGCCATGTGTCTGTTATGAAGTTTATGTTAGAGTTTTACCACTAGGGTTGATCTATCTGGTTGGTGTCCCTCCCTTAAATGTATCGTGTAGAGTGGCTCCTGAAAGTGCTTCTGGAGACGACTACAGCGGACCGTACCTCATCAGACGCACCATGGACTCGATGTCGGTCACCAGAGTCTGGTTCCTGCGGAAGATCTGTGCTCTGGGGCTCTGGCTGAAGGAGAACCAGGACCCGTACTTCTGGACCAGCTCCGGCCCTCCACTGGCGTTGAACACCGCCTCGAAGTACCTGAAACATTAGCAGATCCTGAAACATTAGCAGATCCTGAAACATTAGCAGATCCTGAAACATTAGCAGATCCTGAAACATTAGCAGATCCTGAAACATTAGCAGATCCTGAAACATTAGCAGATCCTGAAACATTAGCAGATCCTGAAACATTCGCAGATCCTGAAACATTAGCAGATCCTGAAACGTTAGCAGATCCTGAAACATTAGCAGATCCTGAAACGTTAGCAGATCCTGAAACATTAGCAGATCCTGAAACGTTAGCAGATCCTGAAACATTCAAAATGAACCGTTATGTGTTTATTAGCTTAGAATGAGCATTTCTCTCTACACACCGCGGGTCCGCTTACACCGACATGTTTCTACGGTGGCCCTGAACAGACAAACGTTTTTCGTCACTATGTTGTTCTTCATGCAAAGAAGCGAAACTAAAGTCAGCGAATAAAACACTGACACAATGAGGAACAGGTAACAATAATATTCCCAATAACATAATTTTAATGAATAATTAAGTAAACAATTTCTTAATTTATCTTTGTAAAGAAACCTCATTGCTTAACTGGCTCCTCTCTGCTGTCTCAGACGACGACATCACTTCCTGTCGGCCACCTTAACTTCTGTCGGGTGCAATTCACAACCTCGCCACTAGATGCGCTAAAACTTACACACTGCACCTATAATTAACAATATGGTTTGGCGTTTATTACATTTCTATGGTATATTATACAGGTGTTATTTTATTTGTTTTGATATTTGTTTATTTTCTTTTATTATTATTATTTATTTTTTGCTGTAAAGCACTTTGTGATCCTTCCTTGTCTGTGAAGGGTGCTATATAAATAAACTTTACTTCTGTATTGTATACAACTTAATTTGACTGGTAACAGTGGTACTGTATTATTCTAATAGAATTTAATTTTGAATGTTAGAATTTGACATAAAAAGAATGCATACATCTAATAAGTTTAGAAAAATGCCCTTATATAGGTGAAAATACCCCTGGAAATCAATGTAAGGTGGAAAATATTGCCCCTTAATAAAAAAGTTCATTTCTGTCACCACTGCATAGAATATGAGAAATATGAATATCTTTGTGAGTCTGCAGTCAACAACAGGCCTAAACCAGCCATGATACCAGCACAAAAACACACTCAGCTAAATATAATCTAATTACTATCAACAAAACGTTGAAAATATTGAGATATATCTTTGTCAATATTGCACACCCCTAATATACAGTATTAATTTCTATGTCTTTAGATTTGACTTGAGCAGCCCTGTATATATAAACGCATGCGAGTCAGCGGTTTACTCTCTCCATGCGGCAGAACACTAGCGGACGACACGAGGGTGAAGACTTCACACAGATGTGGTGACAGATGAGGTCAGTGTGATATCAACACACCGCTGAACTTTCACAACCTCTTCTACATTTCAACTTTTCTTTAGAACATTTCCCAGCAACGGTTATCAATCGCTTATCTTTGGAAGATCCGCCAAAGAATATAAAAAAAAAAGTAATTGCAACTTTCTCTCGCAATTCAAACTTGTTCTCAGAAATCTCACAATAGTGAGAAAAGTCAGAAATGTGAGATCATGACTTTTATATCTTAAGAATTGCATGTTTATATCTAGCAAACAGCTCTTATATTTTGTATTTTGTGGCGGGAACTCAAGTGACCTGAGTGAACAGGTGAGCAGGTGTAAAGCAGGTGTAGAGCAGGTGTAGAGCAGGTGTAAAGCAGGTGTAGAGCAGGTGTAGAGCAGGTGTAGAGCAGGTGTAGAGCAGGTGTAGAGCAGGTGTAGAGCAGGTGTAGAGCAGGTGTAGAGCAGATGTAGAGCAGGTGTAGAGCAGGTGTAGAGCAGGTGTAGAGCAGATGTAGAGCAGGTGTAGAGCAGGTGTAGAGCAGGGTAAAGCAGGTGTAGAGCAGGTGTAGAGCAGGTGTAGAGCAGGGTAAAGCAGGTGTAGAGCAGGTGTAGAGCAGGTGTAGAGCAGGTGTAGAGCAGGTGTAGAGCAGGTGTAGAGCAGGTGTAGAGCAGGTGTAAAGCAGGTGTAGAGCAGGTGTAGAGCAGGTGTAAAGCAGGTGTAAAGCAGGTGTAAAGCAGGTGTAGAGCAGGTGTAGAGCAGGTGTAGAGCAGGTGTAGAGCAGGTGTAGAGCAGGTGTAAAGCAGGTGTAAAGCAGGTGTAAAGCAGGTGTAGAGCAGGTGTAGAGCAGGTGTAAAGCAGGTGTAGAGCAGGTGTAGAGCAGGTGTAAAGCAGGTGTAAAGCAGGTGTAGAGCAGGTGTAAAGCAGGTGTAGAGCAGGTGTAGAGCAGGTGTAGAGCAGGTGTAGAGCAGGTGTAAAGCAGGTGTAGAGCAGGTGTAAAGCAGGTGTAAAGCAGGTGTAGAGCAGGTGTAAAGCAGGTGTAGAGCAGGTGTAGAGCAGGTGTAGAGCAGGTGTAGAGCAGGTGTAGAGCAGGTGTAGAGCAGGTGTAGAGCAGATGTAGAGCAGGTGTAGAGCAGGTGTAGAGCAGGTGTAGAGCAGATGTAGAGCAGGTGTAGAGCAGGTGTAGAGCAGGGTAAAGCAGGTGTAGAGCAGGTGTAGAGCAGGTGTAGAGCAGGGTAAAGCAGGTGTAGAGCAGGTGTAGAGCAGGTGTAAAGCAGGTGTAGAGCAGGTGTAGAGCAGGGTAAAGCAGGTGTAGAGCAGGTGTAGAGCAGGTGTAGAGCAGATGTAGAGCAGGTGTAGAGCAGGTGTAGAGCAGGTGTAGAGCAGGTGTAGAGCAGGTGTAGAGCAGGGTAAAGCAGGGGTAAAGCAGGTGTAGAGCAGGTGTAGAGCAGGTGTAGAGCAGGTGTAAAGCAGGTGTAGAGCAGGTGTAGAGCAGGTGTAGAGCAGGGTAGAGCAGGTGTAGAGCAGGTGTAGAGCAGGTGTAGAGCAGGTGTAAAGCAAGTGTAGAGCAGGTGTAGAGCAGGTGTAGAGCGGGTGTAGAGCAGGTGTAAAGCAGGTGTAGAGCAGGTGTAGAGCAGGTGTAGAGCAGGTGTAAAGCAGGTGTAAAGCAGGTGTAGAGCAGGTGTAAAGCAAGTGTAGAGCAGGTGTAGAGCAGGTGTAGAGCGGGTGTAAAGCAGGTGTAGAGCAGGTGTAGAGCAGGTGTAGAGCAGGTGTAGAGCAGGTGTAGAGCAGGTGTAGAGCAGGTGTAGAGCGGGTGTAAAGCAGGTGTAGAGCAGGTGTAGAGCAGGTGTAGAGCAGGTGTAGAGCAGGTGTAAAGCAGGTGTAGAGCAGGTGTAAAGCAGGTGTAGAGCAGGTGTAGAGCAGGTGTAGAGCAGGTGTAGAGCAGGTGTAAAGCAGGTGTAGAGCAGGTGTAGAGCAGGTGTAGAGCAGGTGTAAAGCAGGTGTAGAGCAGGTGTAGAGCAGGGTAAAGCAGGTGTAAAGCAGGTGTAGAGCAGGTGTAGAGCAGGTGTAAAGCAGGTGTAGAGCAGGTGTAAAGCAGGTGTAGAGCAGGTGTAGAGCAGGTGTAGAGCAGGTGTAAAGCAGGTGTAAAGCAGGTGTAGAGCAGGTGTAGAGCAGGTGTAGAGCAGGTGTAGAGCAGGTGTAGAGCAGGTGTAGAGCAGGTGTAGAGCAGGTGTAAAGCAGGTGTAGAGCAGGTGTAGAGCAGGTGTAAAGCAGGTGTAGAGCAGGTGTAGAGCAGGTGTAAAGCAGGTGTAGAGCAGGTGTAGAGCAGGGTAAAGCAGGTGTAGAGCAGGTGTAGAGCAGGTGTAAAGCAGGTGTAGAGCAGGTGTAGAGCAGGTGTAAAGCAGGTGTAGAGCAGGTGTAGAGCAGGGTAAAGCAGGTGTAAAGCAGGTGTAGAGCAGGTGTAAAGCAGGTGTAGAGCAGGTGTAAAGCAGGTGTAGAGCAGGTGTAGAGCAGGTGTAGAGCAGGTGTAAAGCAGGTGTAAAGCAGGTGTAGAGCAGGTGTAGAGCAGGTGTAGAGCAGGTGTAAAGCAGGTGTAGAGCAGGTGTAGAGCAGGTGTAGAGCAGGTGTAAAGCAGGTGTAGAGCAGGTGTAGAGCAGGTGTAGAGCAGGTGTAGAGCAGGTGTAGAGCAGGTGTAAAGCAGGTGTAGAGCAGGTGTAGAGCAGGTGTAGAGCAGGTGTAAAGCAGGTGTAGAGCAGGTGTAGAGCAGGTGTAGAGCAGGTGTAAAGCAGGTGTAGAGCAGGTGTAGAGCAGGTGTAGAGCAGGTGTAAAGCAGGTGTAGAGCAGGTGTAGAGCAGGTGTAGAGCAGGTGTAGAGCAGGTGTAGAGCAGGTGTAGAGCAGGTGTAGAGCAGGTGTAAAGCAGGTGTAGAGCAGGTGTAGAGCAGGTGTAGAGCAGGGTAAAGCAGGTGTAAAGCAGGTGTAGAGCAGGTGTAGAGCAGGGTAAAGCAGGTGTAGAGCAGGTGTAAAGCAGGTGTAAAGCAGGTGTAAAGCAGGTGTAAAGCAGGTGTTCATGCACCCATGGCCTGAAGAGGGGTTGATCGATGACTCTGGTCTCTTTACTCACGGGATGTTGTAGCTGGCCCAGTATCCCGTCTCAAACAGCTCTTCTGTTCGGTCTGCCGTTTCAATCATCCCACTGGAGGAAACACACACACAGAACACACACGTTAGCAGGCGTAGGGTTAGCAAATACGGTAATGCAAACACACACCAATCAGCTTTACTATTCAAGAAGTGATAATCATTTGAGTTAGATCAGATTTTGTAATGTTTCTGAAAGTGTCTTCTGCTCACCAAGGCTGCATTTATTTGATCAAAAATACAGTAAAAACAGTGAAATATTATTATAATGTAAATCAGCTGTTTTCTATGTGAATATATAGTAAAGTGTAATATATTCCTGTGATCAAAGCTGAATTTTCAGCATCATTACTCCAGTCTTCAGTGTCACATGATCCTTCAGAAATCACTCTAATATGATGATCTGATGATCAAGACACAGTTATGATTATTATTAATGTTGATTCAGTTTTCTGTGGAAACCTTGATACGCTACCATTTAAATAGAAAATAAATAGAAATTATTACTTTTATTCATCAAGAATAAATTAAATTGATCAAAAGTGACAGTAAAGACACTTATAATGTTACAAATAATTTATATTTTTAGATAAATGCTGTTCTTTTGAACTTTCTACTCATGAAAGAATCCTAAAAAATAAAATGCATCAAGGTTTCCACAAAAATATTAACCGTTTTCAACATTGAAAATAATCATAAATGTTTCTTGAGCATCAGATCCTCATATTAGAGTGATTTCTGAAGGATCATGTGACACTGAAGACTGGAGTAATGATGCTGAACATTCAGCTTTGATCACAGGAATATATTACACTTTACTGTATATTCACATAGAAAACAGATGATTTGCAGTGTGGCGTCTCTTCAGACGTTCTGTCTTAATTCCAGAATGGTTAATGGTAATTCCGTATATATTTGATGCAATCTGGCTCAGTACTGTGACTTTAAGAGAACGCGGATGCTTACGGGATCTGCTCCAGGACTGTGAAGAGCCCTAGTTGTGTGTATCCCTTTCCCGGGACGAACAGCTTGTAGTCGACCACCATCCACTGGTTGTTGTACCTGGCCATCACAATGTAGTTTGATCACCGGCTTTCATTCAAATGTGCTCATTTAATAAGATGCGCTGAGAGTCTCACGTTCCGCTGTTGTATTGGCTGAAGATGTCGGCCCACGCCGGGCCGCTGTCCGCCAGCCGGTTGGCCACGATGTTCCTCAGCCACTCCATGACTGCGCCGCGGGGACGCACAAACCTCCACAGCTCAGCGTTACTGTTGCCAATCGTGGTTTCCAGAGTTACCTGAGGGAGAACACACTGATATTAAGTCAGGGATAATTCACAGCCAGCAGGTTGTTATCTCAGAATAAACTCGACAGAGTGATCAGGATCAGGACTTCATCAGCCTGAGGGGGTTTTAGTGCAGGGCCATATGTAGCAAAATAAAGTGTTTGGAACATTTCATATAGATTTTTGCAAATGATGTTTTTGGGCTTCTTCAGACCCTATAGTTTGCAAAACTTCCTGTTTCCGATTTTTTCCCGGGCTGCACAGGCCCAAAATCCAAGATGGCGGATATATCACCCAAAATTTCAAATAATCGCCTTTTTAAACATTTCAAATGGATATATGTTAGGTATATCATTATATACATACATTTTCTAATTAATTGAATGACTTAAGTAATAAATATGACCATGGGTAACATGAATTATCATGATTATCAACCAATGATGGGTGTAACCACCATTATGCTATTTATTGGCATACCCGGAAAATCACATTGACTGATTAAAAGTTTCCTTCATATAACCTAATAATAATTTTATTTAAAATAATGTTCTGCGCTCACCACAATAATTCTGTTAACAATCAGATGACATGAAAAATTATTGGGGAGAATGGATTACATGAAGCCAATGAGAAAGATGGGAAAGATAGCCAGCCCTTGTTACTAGGAAACGATAAACAAAATGAAACTTTTGAGCTTTTGCAGGGAGAGGGAAATTATTTTTCAAGCCTGGAGAAGAACAGCACATGTCAAATGTGCTATGAAATGTAAGTTCACATTTCCCCCCTCTTGCCTCGATACTATCGAGTATCGGAAAATGACTTCTTGTTCGGTACCAGATTTCGATACCTAAGGGGTTAACTCGTCAACGTCAGTGCTCAAACAAATACATGTGAAATGCATAACAACACACCTAAAGTCGCTCACACACATACACGCAAACTCTACACACACGAGACGTGCGGAAGAGAATGATGATGCATCTGAAATGAAATTGGTTAACTTTGTCACCAAGCAAATAATGCCAACAGCAGTGCAGCATGATATTTTGGACACAGAGTTACGAGGTGCAAAAGCACTTGAAACTTATGTTAATGAAAGGGTCAGAGGAGAAAAGAATATGTGGGACAAAATGTCAAAGCTGAAGTATTTGACATGGAAAGATGGATGCAAAACTATCAAGCGTAAGTCGTCTTCTGAGGTTGTTCAGATGAAAGCAACCAACTCCCTGTTTGTTCGCTTGCTCTTCATTGCAAAGTCCTCAAGAGAACTGGACTTGCAGGACATTGTGGGAACATATGAATTTGCTGATTATAACGCAAGCCTAATGGTGCCTGATGGTTCTTTGCTGCCCACTACAGCCAAGTCTGCCCTCATCCATGAACTGGAGGGACTGGTTTCAGAAACAACATCCTCTGAACAATCTACAGAGAGTAGCTCAGTGCAATCGACACAGACATTGGATAGCATCTTAATAGATGGCATGGCTGTTGTGCAGGAGATGGTTGTCAGGAAAAGTGACATAAACTGTTGCCAAGATTTGGCAGAATGCTTCATTCAAAGTGTTGAAACTAAGGCACAAGGCTACAATGACATATACTTATTATTTGAGAACTATACCATCACAAACTCCATGAAAGACAGAATAAGACAGGTGCGTACAGCGGGAAAAGCACAGGATAAGGGATACAAAATACAAGATTCTACACCAATCAAAGATTTTAAAGCTTTTCTGGGATCTAAGGAAACCAAAGCCAACGTTCTCGTTCTCTACCTTGCTCATAAAGCTGTTGAACTATGTAAACTGCCAATCACAGTTCACACACACAAAAGGTGTTATGGCCTCAAAAGTTAACATGGTGAGCATGAGGAGATCACAAGAAGAGGCGGACACTCTACTGATCATGTACGCAGTAGCAGTAAGTCATTTTGGCAAAACCGCACATATCTACACATGTGACACAGATGTCTTGGTGCTTGCCCTACGCAGGGTACCAGACTTCAACAAAGACAGTCTCATTATCATGGGCACTGGAGATTGTCGACGAAAGATACAACTCCAACCTATTTACGTGGCTCTTGGCCCAGAGCGTGCAGCAGCATTACCAGGGTTCATGCACTCACAGGTTGCGATACCACAGGCCATATCCGGGAAAGGAAAGGTTTCTTGTTTCAAGTCATTCATGGAGACAGATGATGATGTCATTAATGCACTTTGTAGGCTTGTTGTAGGTCCTCATCCATCTCCAGACGTGTTAGCTGGATGTGAGAAATTCATGTGTCAGCTCTTCAAACCTGGTTATGAAACAGCTAAAGCCCTTCGGTGGAACATGTTTAAAAATATAAAACCCAACCAGGGAGTGGAAAAACTATGTCCCACTTCAGGAGCAGTTACAGAGCACATTCTGAGAGCACACTGGCAAGCAAATGTTAAGATTCCTGACGCACTATCACTGGGATGGAGGCAAATTGATGGCTCCTGTCCTGTCAAAACTTCCACCAGCACCAGAGGCTGTTGTGGAGCTTGTGAAGTGCTCTTGTCTTGCCAGCCAATGCAGTAGAAGGTGTTCTTGCAAGAGCAACAACTTACCATGCACGCAACTTTGCAGGTGTGAGGGCTCTGAGGAGACATGCACCAATATTGAAAAGTCAGACAGTGACAGTGAGAGTGATGAGGATAAATACTTGAGTGACAATGACTGACTGTTTTGTTGAACTCTTCAATAATGAAACAAAAAGATTTTTTTTCTTAATTTTTTCAAATTTTTTGGCAAATGATCCAATAAATATTTTGAAAATAGTCTTGTCTCACTTGTCTGCCTTATTAGGAATACATTCATCAAAAAGTTTACCATTTTAAAGCCTTTACAGAAGTGAAAAGATTATATATTTTATTTTCTGTCATTTTTCTGCATATATTGTCTGCCATCTTGAATTTTGGCACTAAAAATTAAGAAAAAAATTGGAAACAGGTTGTTTTGTATTCAGTGGGGTCCTAGCAAGTAAAAAAACACCAGTTGCAAAAATCTATATGAACCGTTCCTAAAATAACACAATTCCCCACACTATTTATTCTGAGATAACACACACACACACAAACACACCTGAAGGGGTTTATTCTGAGATAACACACACACACACACCTGAAGGGGTTTATTCTGAGATAACACACACACACACACACACACACACACACACACACACACACACCTGAAGGGGTTTATTCTGAGATAACACACACACACACACACACACACACACACACACACACACACACACACACACACACACACACACACACACACACACACACCAGAAGGGGTTTATTCTGAGGTAACACACACACACACACACACCTGAAGGGGTTTATTCTGAGATAACACACACACACCTGAAGGGGTTTATTCTGAGATAACACACACACACACCTGAAGGGGTTTATTCTGAGATAACACACACACACACACACACACACACACACACACACCTGAAGGGGTTTATTCTGAGATAACACACACACACCTGAAG